TTCTTTTATGGTAACCTGCATTTTTTCATCTAATTTGCGACCAAAATCAACCAATTCTGTGAGCTTCCTGATCACCAGTGTTTTGAACTGTGCATCTGATAGGTTAGCTATTTCTTGGTTGCTCAAAAGGATGAGCTCTGGGGCACTGATTTGTGCTTCTGTTTGAGCCATCTCTCTCTCTCTCTCTTTTTTTTTTTTTTTTGGTCACTCCTGTTACAGTGAAGGGTGGAGCCTTAGGTATTCACCAGGGCTGGGCACCCCACTCGCTAGATTGAGACGTTGTATGTGAGGGCGGGGTCGAGAGGGGACAATGGCGGTAGCTCTGTTATCTGTGGGACCTCAGTCCCTTCCCTGGGATCCTGGGCTATGCGCTCTGCCCTGCTCCACAATCGCCGCCCCACTGGGTCCACCAGCCGCCGCCTGCGCACTCAGGGTCCACCCGCTGCGATCTTGCATGCCCCAGATGCCTTACGAGCTCCCGGTTGCCTTATGTACCCAACTTTCCCTGTTCTTCGTGCCGCAACCCATGCCCTGCTGCTTGTCTCTGCCCCTCCTACCGGTCTGGATGAACGGGTCTACTTCAACTTCTTGGCTGTCCGACTTCCATTCAGATAAATTCTCTATCAGCTCTGGGTGTTATTCTGCCTCTAAATTGTTGTTGTTCCAATCTTGGTTGTGCATGGAGGTATGGTGCATCCACCATACCCCCATCTTGGCCGGAAGTTGATTTTAAATAATTTTTTTAATTTCCTGAATGATACCAGAATATGTTCACCCTGCAAAGATTGCAGCGAAGGCTCAACTCTGCTTCATCCTGGACCCCAGGTCCTCACTCCCCAAAGCCACCACCTTCATCATTGTGGTAAATATACTTCTGGCTCTTCCTTTTATTCTTCTTTTTTTTTTTTAAGGTTTATTTCATTCTCATTTGAGAGAGAGGGAAAGGAGAGGGAGAGGAAAAAATTGACGTGCGAGAGAAACACCAAGCAGCTGCCTCCAGCACGCGCCTGAACGGGGGGTCCAGCTCGCAGCCCGGCATGTGCCCCAACCAGGACTCGAACTGGGGACCTATCTGTTACAGGACGGCGTTCCGACTAGCTGAGCCACACTGGCCACGGCCTTCCTCTCATTCTTACAATCATGTACATGGCTCCAGAGAGGACGCATGGATTTTTAAAAACCATACATGTACACACATACACATTCCTCATGGATTGTTTCCAGCTGTGTTTTCCACACCTCTCTTGTTTTCCCCTAACAGTGTGACCTGGAGCTGATTCCATCCTCCAATAGATGCATACACGTGAATACCTTCATGGCGGGGACCCCCTCCTGGTATCCATGCCTGTGTATAATCCCCTGCCGTGACCTTAGGCTAAATTTAGGGACTCGCTTCTAACAAATAGAATAAGGCAGAGGGGATGGGGTGTGACCCGGAGACAAGTCACAAAAGGCAGGGTTTGAGAGGTCCACATGGAGAGGAACGGAGGCCTCTTGCCAACAGCCGCATGAGGGAACCAGCTAGAAGGGTCTCCTCCACCCCCCGTCGAGACTTCAGACGAGGCAGCCCTGGCTGATGTCCTGACTGTGACCTCATGAGAAACCCCAAGCCATCACCACCAGCTGTCGTTCCTGGATGCCTGACCCACAGAAACTGTGAGATAATGAGTGTGTATTGTTTTAATCAGCTAAAGTTGGGGGTGGGGAGATAATTTGAGAGGCAGAAATAGCTAACTGCTGCACCCTGCCCTGGAGGTCACTTAGCCTGTCCTGCTGGACGACACTCACACCACAGCTCGCCAAGCACATCCCTGCCCCCCAAGAGGTGGAACGGCTACATTGTGAGGATGCACATTCTAAATGTTTAACAACTTTGAGTTAAATTTAAAGGCTTCAAATGAATGATTGCGAAACATAACTGGGCTGTAATCTCATATTTGCACCCCAGCCACTGCACAGCACGGGGGCGAGGGACAGCACGGCACTAAAGAGATGAGCTTGAGAGCCCAGGTCTGACTCCCGGGGTGTGGCCGCAGGCAGCCCCTGCACCTCGGCGGGCCTGGTGTGCTCACGCTCGGTGTCAATGCGGGCTGATAACAGAACATCCTCGCAGGGCGGCGTGCGCCAGGCTCCGTGAGTCCAGTCGCATAAAACACCTAGGCCCGTGCTGCCTGCGAGAGCTTTCTGCAGCGATGGGCACGTGGACATCGAGCCCTTAAAGCGTGGCTCAGTATGACTGAGGAAGTGAATTTATAATAATTAAAACCGATTTATTTATTTTTAATTGTTACTGACTTTTAAAGAGACGAAGGGGGAGAGAGAGAGAGAAATACTGATGTGAGAAACACCGATCGGCTGCCTCCCAACCAGGGACTGAATCTGCAACCTAGGCGATCGACCCTGCGACCTTTTTGGTTTATAGGATGATGCTCCAACCAACTGAGCCACACCGGCCAGGGCTAATTAAAACTGATTTAAATTTAAATAGCCACACGTATCTAATGCCTACTGTATTAGATGACACAGGCTTGAAACAACGCTTGGCAAACAGTAAGGGCTTAATAAATGCTTGGTAGAAATAGTATCCTGCCAAACTATCCTCCAGAGAGTCGATTTACACACTCCCAGCATGGAGGTCGCCCCGGCTCATGCCTCACACCCCAGTCTGATCACGCCCCTCTCCCCCTCAAAGCCCTTCTGTCGTTCCCCATTGTCCGAAGGTGACATCCCAGATTTGCTGATCTCGTTGTGGTCACAACTTTCAGCGTACTCTGGAATTACTTGACTGAGGCCTTCGGAGGAACAAAGTCCAGCATATAGTAGGTGCTTCATCATGAAAGGACCTCTGTAACCTGGCCCCTATTATCTCTGCATCTGTTTCTTTTTTTTTTTTAAGATATTTATTTATTTTTAGAGAGGGGAAGGGAGGGAGAGAGGGAAACAGCAATGTGTGGTTGCCTCTCAAGCGCCCCCTACTGGAGACTGGGCCTGCAACCCAGCCATGTACGCTAAACAGGGAGTTGAACTGGGGACCCTTTGGTTCGCAGGTTGGGACTCAATCCACTGAGCCGCACCAGCCAGGGCATGCACCTGTTTCTTTGCGCAGTGCTGCAGTCTCAGCCAGCTGTCCAACCACCACACCAGCTCAAGCCTCTGAGCCTTTGCCCAGGCTATTTCTCCCATCCAGAAAACCCTTCTAAGCAGACTCAGACTCATCGTCCCACCTCGTAGCCCAGCTGGTCCTTGTTCTCTCTGCAAGTGCTGGAGCAAGGTGCTTCATGCCTCAGAGCCTCGGTTTCCTCAACCATAAAACAGGATGAATTATCGATAAAAGACATGGTTCTGCAAAGCATCTGGCAGGATACTAAGTAGCTCATTAAACTGAGTGGTTAGCATGACTCCCATCAATTTCAAGAGGCTCAGCTTGGGTGTGGCCATCTCCACTATTCACACCCCCACCCCAGGCTCTCTCCTGGAGCCACGTCCCCCACTCCAGGTCTCAGAACTTTGTTTTAGGGACTTTGAGGCCTCCGCTGGAGTGGGGCGGGAGCCAAAGCCACACCATCTCTCTGGTCTCGCCTCCTTCAGGCCTCACCTCCTCAGGGCACTTCGTGGTCCTGGGCTACAAGTCCAATTTGGGACGTTTTCCCTAGACATTCCAGTTCAAAATCTATTATATAAGAGAGCTGGCAAAAATGTGGAGAAATCCTGGAACCCCTGTGCCATGCTGGCGGAATGTAAAATGGGGCACTTGTCATGGAAAACGGTTGGGCAGTTCCTCAAAGAGCTAAGATAGAATTACCACGTGACCCAGCAAGTCTGCTCATAGACACCTACCCAAGAGAACTGCAACAAGTGTTTGAACAAAACCTTGTACATGCATGTTAATGGTGGGGCTATTCACACCAGCCCAAAGGCAGCAACAGACTGTCCGTTGGTAGATGAATGGACACACAAGGCGTGGTCTATCTGCACATGGAACATCACTCAGCCTCGAAAAGGAGTGAAGCTCTGACACTCTACAGCGTGGATGGACTTTGAACACACAGTGCTCTGGGGGAGAAACCACACACAAGGGACCACAGTGTGTGATCCCATGTATGTGACACGTCCAGAACGGGCACAGCCCCAGACACAGGAAGTGGGTCAGTGGTAGCCGGGGTTGGGGGAGGGGAGTGGGGAGTGACGGCTAAGAGGAGAGAGAGTGCTTTGGGGTGATGGAATGATCCTGAACTAGACAGAGATAATGGCTGCACATTGTTGTGCAGGTACTTAATGTCGATGAATTGTACACTTTAAATTGGTAAAAATGGTAATTTTTAGGTGAGTTTCACTCCAATTTTTTAAAATGTGTATTATATAGAGTCTCCTCTCCTGGGCTGCCTACATGAGAGCAGAGACCAAAGCCATTTGGTCACTGCTATGTCCATGGTGGACAGCAGACAGCTTTGCAGTAGGTGTTCAAGAAACATTGGTGGTCCCGGCTGAGGTGGCTCAGTGGACTGAGTGCCGGCCTGTGAACCAAAGGGTCATGGGTTCAATTCCCAGTCAGTGCATATGCCTGGGTTGCGGGCCAGTCCTCCAGTGGGCAGTGTGTGTGAAAGGCAACCACACATGGATGTTTCTCTCCCTCACCTTCTCTCTCCCTTCCCCTTTCTCTAAAAATAAATAATTTTTTTAAAGAAAGAAAACATTTATGGACTGAATGAATAAATGAGTGTGGGAATCAAAAAACATAGACACCTGCTCTTCCTGAGAAAGAACACTCCATTTCTTCAAATTTTGGAGGAATCAGATGAAATTTCGGCTACAAAAACTTCAGACTTGCTTCCTCAGAATATCTCCACATCTCCTGACTCCAAGTCTGAGTTCTCCTCTACCCAGAAACCCATGGGGCCAGATGCACTTGGTCTTTATCAGTGTGCAAGGGCAAATAAAGAAGGACTCAGTCCTTTAGCAAGTAAAACTTTTATTAAATAAACTTTCAGTTTCTCCAGACCAAAGAGAGGCGTTTTGGACATAAAGATGATGCTCGCAATTTCTCACCTGAGACACGCCACAGTGACAAGGACCTCTCCAGCCACGAAATCCATCAACCCAGAGTTTCTTCTAAGTCCTTTTCTCGTCTTTCTTGTGTGTGTGTGTGTGTGTGTGTGTGTGTGTGTGCGGCAGTTTGTTTCCAAAAGTCGGTTTGCAGGTTGCAACTTCATGAAATTACTAGTAGCAGAAATAAAGTACATTGTACAAATCATGTAGATCTTCGGTGTGGAGTATAAAAATGGTATTTACAGCCAGTAAACATGGACCAGAAGGACACACGCCACTGCACGCCAGGCCTGGCGGGAGCTTGGTGGGTGCTGGAGACACAGATGAGGCCCCCTCTCGGCCCCTGAGCACACGCTTGCACACGCAGACGCACGGGACACAGGCACACTAGAGAATGTCTTGGAACAATTATCAAACTCTGGAATATCGAAACAAGTTGGTCGGAAGATTTTTTTTCTTTTTTTTTTTACTATGTGTTTTTCTTCTTTTTTTTTTTTTTCTGGGTCAGTCAACACATTTGGTAGAAACAAAAGGGAACGCTTTTTTCTTTTCCAAAAAATTTTCTTGAGCTTATTAAGTTCTCTGGCACCTCGTCTGGCAACAGACCCCACTGGACGACCAGAAGAACTCGACTCTGTGCTTTCAGGTGGGTTTTCATGGTTTGGGTAGGTATACAGAGGCACCCCACGGGATCTCCCTCCCAGCCCCAGCTAGGAAACAAAAATCCACTGTTGTTCGATTTTTTCCCCATTTTTTCTTCTCTTTTTTTCTTTGTACCTGCTCAGAAAGATCAAAATTTAAAAAAAAAATTTCTTTGAAGAGGTATCTTCGGCAAAGGGGTGCTTGGCCAGTGCAGGTTGGGCTTGTCCAACGAGCGTGGCGGTCTTGGTTATGAGATTGTGAATTCCAGGCTGGTGATCCTAAGGCAGGGAGGATTGGCTGCCTGCCCTTGGGAGGGGGCAAGAGGAGTGGGGGCTCCCACAGACCCCATCTACCCCCGACGGAAAGCTAAGGGCTCTTGGTCACATGAGTAAGGCTATGACTGGGGGTTAAGGGCTGGGGGAGGCAGGGGGTCTCTTTTGTGCTGAGGAAGGCAGGGCCCTGGGACACGGGAGGGGGTTGGGGGGTCCCGGAAGCTGCAGCTAGGACCAGGGACACTCAAGCCGGCTGAGCCCACAGGCCCAAGAGAATTGTTGGTGGCAGCGGCCAAAAGTCCTGGAGGTATATCGGTTGGCTGATGACTCCCAGTGCTTCTCCGGCGCCCTGGTCTGACGTGACAGCCGGGGGGTGGGGAGACACCGGGCTGCCCGGCCAGCCTCAGCCCTTCTTATGTCCCTGCTGAGTGACCGGCCTAGGGTCACCTTCTCTTGGATGGAAGGAAGTCAGAAAAGTTTGGTCCCATGATCTATACTCAAAAAATATATATGTCTATAACTCTATATATATATGCATATATATATATAGGAAAAGTTGTGATTTAGTCTGGGGAAGCCACCGAGGTTGCTGGGGGTGCCGAGGAAATCTCCCAGGAGGGAGAGGTGAACTCCTCAGCCCCTGACTCGGGAGCTTCCCCGCCCCCTGCCCCCTTCGGTAGCGTTTCACATTTTGGGGAGGGGGCTCAGGGGAGACAGGAGAGGAGAGGGAGGGCTGGTGTCCAAACTTGGTTGTAATTTACGGAAAAGTCCTGGATCGGTTGGAAGCGGGGAAACCCTCCTGGGGTGGAAGGCCCCTCACCTGGCGGAGAAGGGAGGGGCGTTAGAGAGCTCCGGGCCAGGGCACGCAGGCAGGCCGCCTCACCTCCCATCCGCCCCTTTGCCCTGACCAGGCTGGGGTCTGGGACCCCAGCGCCCATAGTCTTTTCAGAAAGAGTCCGTTTTGGGGCTCAGAGGCTGACAAACTCAGCTTGGAACGGATTTAGTGTCACCAAGCCCATGTCCTCATCTGGCAACGGGGACAAACATTCCTGTTAGTGTTCCCTCTCCCCTGCTGCCCGCCACTGAAGCTCCAGGGAGGCCGTTTCTCCTCCCGCCCACTCCCCAGTCTCTGCTCATCCGCAGCTGCGTCCCCAGGCACCGTCCCCAGGCGCCGGAAACAGGGCCTAGCACACAGCAGGTGCTCAGGGAGGATGTGCCATCCCAGCGTAGGAAAGTGTGCGGATCCCCCGAGATGGTCCCAAACGTGCATGCTGAGATGCAGGGCTCTGTGACTGCACACCTCAGACCTGGGGGTGCTGAGCCGGCAGGCTCTGAAAGGCACCACCATATGCCCTAACTGAGCACCCACTTTGTGCCAGACCCAGGTGAGGCTCTCTGATGATGATGGCAATGGTGGTTTTAAAGGGGAAAAAAAGGGATTATCAAGAACTTTGCAGGTGGCAGGTTCTGGGCTCAGCGGGGGAGCACTGCATTCCCTGTGTGAGCCCACCCCACTGCTTCTGGGGGAGGTGGCTTTTATGAGCCCATTTCACAGATGAGTGTCATGGAAGCTTAAGATCAGTAGTTTTCCTCATTGGCCCCTTAGGCTCACTATTTGTTCCCCAGACAAGGTGATTAGTTGATACAGTTGTTCACTCTGATGTCAGAACACTCTCGGGGATTTGTTTGTTTGGGGGGGTGTTTTTTCTGGCATGCCAGTGGGCAGGGCAAAATCCCACTTTCCTTTCAACCCACTGGGTATGAATTATACACCAAACAAGGGAGCTGCCGGGTAAGGGGGTGGCTCATCTGGGAGGGCCAGAGGATGGGATAGAAGCCCTTCCGCACATTCCCGACCCACGGCCAAACCTGGCCCCTCAGGGAAATTTCTCTTCATCCCTCAGAGTTTTCCTGGGAAGGCTTCCCGAACCACCCTTGGTGAGCACCGGATTCCCTGCCTCGCTACGCCAGATCTACTCTCCAGTCCAGCACAGGGAGTGGCTGTGTCTTTATCAGCTCTGTCCCTACCCGTCCCACCTGGGGGCTCCTGTATATAGCCTCTCGAAGCAATCTCACCCCTCCTCAAGCCCACCCCCGGCCAGGACTGGAGATGGTTTGGAGAAGCAGGAGGGACCGGCCACAACACCGGGCAGGGCAGGGCTGGGGCCGCCTGGCGGCTCACCTGGGCCAAGCCCACAGCCTTGGGGTGGCTGTGGGCGTGGTCAGTAGGGGTGTCCCGGGTCTTTGGGCCGCTTCAGCTGCACTTTCAGTCTCTTCATGCCGATCTGAAAGCCATTCATGGCCTGGATGGCGGTCTGCGCGCTGGCCGGGTTGTCAAAGCTCACGAATCCTGCAGAGACCGGGGTGGACCCGCGATGGTGGGCAACGTGGGCGTCTTCCACTTGGCTTCCCAGCTTGGGGTCCTAGGGGCGGGGCGTGTGCTTGCCGGCGGGCAGACGGCCCCTGGAGGTGGCAGGGCTTGCCAGAGGACACACGGCAGTCCTGGCCTGGTTCTGACACCCCTGGGTCTGCATGCATCTGGGGACAGGGCACCTACGCCTTAACTGGGGTGTGCTCTGCTGGGACTTTCCATGTGGAATTGGGGACAGGTGGGACCCCAGAGGTCCATGTTCTCTCTCCTATCAGGTTGCCTGCCTCCTTCTAGGCCCTGACCTTTGCCTCCTCCGAGACCCCAGTCCATGTGGGTCTATCTTGTCTTCCCCCATCTTGTCCATCTGACTCTCTGCGTGTCTTTCTCTTCTGTCTCCTTTTCCCTCTCTCCCACCCTCCCTTTCTTTCTTTTCTCTGTGTCCCTGTCTCTGTCTCTCTCTGTCTTTCTCAGCCTTCTCCTCCCAGTCTCCCCTGAGATCATCAGAAACACTTAAGCCTCCCCCACTTAAACTGCCACCAGCCCAAACCCCCTTTACCTGCCACCTCAAGGCCACCTGGCCCTACCCCTGCCCCTTACCTCTTGGTCCTCACAGGCTCCACAGGGGACTGTGTGGAGGCCACAGAGGCCAGGGGCCCTCCAGGGGGAGGGGACCACATGTGCAAACACTCGGAGGTGGGGTCACCTGAGCTCTGTGACCAAGAGGCCAAGTGGGTGAAAGGTCAAGCAGAGAGATAAGGGGGGACAGGGTTGAAGGGTCTTGCTGAGGCCCATGGGGAGCCATGGGGGAATTCAGAGCTGGGGGGATTGATGTCATCATATTTATCTCCTCTAATCCCCCCTGTATATAGAGGAGCAAACTGAGGCTCACAGAATGTGTATGACCTGCTGATTGTTGAATGTGATTGAGTAGGTTTTACTCCAGAAATTCCTCTCCCTTCTGGAAGCAGTACACAGGAGAGGGGTCCTGGAAACTGGCAGGAGTCCCTGACTTGCTGTGAGACTTCAAGTGTGTTGCTTGGCCATTCCATTCCTCTCTTTCCTCCCTCAGCAAATTGGGACAAGTCTTCCCTTTTATGGTTAGATACTAAGCACATACAGAAGGCACTTAATAAATAGTCAAGGGTTAGCCCTTCAAAGAAGACAGGGTAGGTTAACAGATCTTGTACTCAAACAGACTGGCTCTAATTTAGGTTCTGCCCCTATGCTGCTATGTGACTTTGAACGTGTCAGTGCCTCTCTGAGCCCTAAATTCCTCTGTTTCTGGGGACAAAGAAGTCCTTCCTAAGGTCCACAAGGCCCTGCATGGCCTGCCCCTGTCCCCACCTGCCCTTACTTCCTTCCTCTCTCTCCATCTTTCACTCTGTTCCAGCCACACAGGCCTCCTCACTGTTCCTCCAACATGCATGCTCCAGCCCCAGGGCCTTTGCACATGCCGTTCCCTCTTCCTAGAACACTGTTCCTGCACATTTCCCCATGCTGGCTCCTCATTGGTCAAATCTATTTTTCTTCTTATCATTTATAATTCCCTGGCCTAGATCCTAAGTTTTTTTATTTCCATCGCCTCCCCCTAAACCTGTGCCCTCCAGTTCAGTAGCCACTAGCTACAGTGGTTATTTAAATTTAAGTTAATTAAAATTAAATAAATTTTCAAACTTAGTCCTTCGGTCACACTGGCCACATTTCAAGTGTTTGCTAGCCACACGGGGCCGATGGCTCAGACAGCCTGGATGTAGAACAGTTCCATCATCAGAGAAAGCTCCACAGGACAGTCCAGGAGGGCTGTGAGGTCTCGGAGGGCAAGGGTTTGTCAGCCTCCTTCACCGCAATAATCCCAGCACCAAGCACAGAGCCTGGCACACAGCGAGACAAAATATATCTATTTGTTGAATGAATGAATGAATGAATGAATGGGTCTTAGAAAGAAGGTGTGCCCTGGCAAGTGCCCGGAACACAGTAGGTACTTAGGTACCTAATAAGTGCCTACTCTGATTATGAATGTGATTCTTTTAAAAGCAAAATGTGATTCCTTTGGACCAGGCCTGTCTCATGGCTGACCAACCCCTCCCCCCCACTCCGCAGGTCCCCGTTTCCAGCGTCAGGTGGGAAGGACAGGCTGGCCAGTAGGAAGGGGTGCCCTCTGCAGGGACTCACCAAAACATTTGCTCTGGTTGGTGGCCCGATCCATAAACACCTTGGAGGAGATGATATTGCCGAAGGGCAGGAACATCTGCGTCAGCTCCGTGTCTCCAAACTCCTGGGGGAGGTGGTAGATAAACAGGTTACAGCCTTCGGGACCTGCAGGTGGGGAAGAGAAAGACATAAAGCCCCCAAGGAGAGGAGGTGGACCCGCCCCCCCAAGAGAGGAGTGGGTCCAGACCCACATCTGGCACCTCCAGCTGTCAAGAGAGGGGTGCCCCATGACACCCAGAAAGAAGGGGTATGAAAATAGGGAAAGGGAAGGCAGGGTGCCCTGAGATCTGGTCTATATAATCCCACACACAGATACTCCAAACCTCTGGTGATTCTCAGGCCCCAGATATTTACAAAATTCAGATGACCCCTCCCCCTCCCCCCAAACCAAGATAAATCCCAGGAACTCCAAGCTTCCAGAAAGTCCCTCAGCCTCAAACTCCAGATTATTTGCAAAAGTCAGGTTAACTAGTTGACAGAGATATGAAAACTATAATCTATCTTTGCAATTATTCTGCAAGTCTAGAACTGGTTATACAATAAAATTAAAATGTTTGTTTTTTTAAAAGTGTGGTGAACAGCCCTGCCTGGTGTAGTGCAGTGGATTGAGTATAGGCCTGTGAATCAAAGGGTTTCCGGTTCGATTCCCATTCAGGGCACATGCCTGGGTTGCAGGCCAGGTCCCCAGTAGGGAGCACATGAGAGGCAACCACACATTGGTGTTTCCCTCTCTTTCTCCCTTCCCCTCTCTAAAAAAATAAATAAATAAAATCTTTTTGTTTTAGTCCGGTGATCACAAAATACAAGAGAAGTGATTCTCTGGCTCCAAACACCAAATAACCAGACATATTTTCCAAAAGCCTTGGGTAATCCTTCTAACTGTGACAATTTACAGAACTCAGATGATGTAAAAATAAAATAAAGTAAAATAAAAAGAGGATTCTCCAGTCCTAAATCTCAGATATCCTGAAACCAGATATCATTTTCAAATGGTGGACTATACCGACTAGAAATATATTTTTTTAAAGCATGGCTAACCCTCATAATCACCCCCTCCTTATATAATCCCCAGTGTATCATTTATATGCAAACTATAAATAATACCACTTAAAAACCTGATTAACTTGGGGTGGTGAACACACAATACAATATACAGATGATGTATTATAGAATTGTTTACCAGAAACCTAGAATTTTATAAACCATTGTCATCCCTATAAATTCAATAAAAATAAATCAAAAAATAAAAAATAAAAACCTGATTATCTGAAGCTATGAATATTTCCCAAAACTTCTCCCATGCTTCCCAAAATAAAGGTGATGGCCAGACCACCAAGAACTGCTCCCATACTAGCAGTGAATATTTCCCACAGCAGAAAATACAAAATCCGAGATCACACAGTCACACCCACCCCTTACCCCTCTGATTGGGACCACAGTTCTTCTATAATGCATGTTTTTAAAATGCAAGTGTGTTCCGATGTGATTAATGTGTTATGGAACAATTTTGAGCATAACACAAACTCTGTATTGTCTTATGGGCTAACACCAGGTGAACACAGAAAATCCAGACCCAGCTGAACCAAGCCACATAAGAAAACAAAATACGTGCTCACACACAAGGCTCTAACACCTATCAACTTCCTCAGTTCCCCAAATGTGTTACAAGCCACACCTGTCCCCACCTGGGGTTACAACTCTCTGACTTCAGACAACGCTGTTTCTACTATTTCACTGGAACTCACATGCGGCAACACTTTGATGCCACTCCCACGTGTAAGCTTCAGCTCTTTTCCAAGATAAAGTGCCCTATTTATTGTAGTATTTCTTAGACATCTAACATTGATAAAACTGGTACAGTTTTTAGCAGGGTTCTATCTTTTTATTATTATTATTATTATTATTATTATTATTATTATTATTATTATTATTATTATTTGTTTGATGTGGCTGCGGGCCAGACTCCGAGCTTCCCTTGCCATGGGGGTGACCTGGGGCTTTTCTGGTTGTTCGCCTCTCCCTAGTTCCTGCATCCCTACCAGCTGGATTAAAGACCGAAGGGAGCCCCCGGTGATGAGCGCCCCCTGTGTGTCAGGAACAGCTACTGCTTACTTCCCAGTTGGCACAGACAGCTGTGTTACAGATGGGAGAACTGAGGCATAGGCTGGTGAGGTACCTTCCTTTTGTCAGAAGTCAGAACTAGGTGGATCTGAACTCCAGTTGTCCGGCTCAAGAATCTAATCCTTGCATCCCCCGACTTTAATGGAGAGAACTCAGTTTACCCGAAATACCTCATCACCCCACCCCCAAACTCAAAATGAATTTCCTCTCCAAAATTTCCGGGAATCATTCGGTTTTGGAGAGGGTTCCTCTATGCCTACGGGGTTGAGCTAGAATGGTTCCCACTTTCCGGAGGAGGAGACTGAGGCTCGGAGAAGGAGATTCAGTTGCTCCCCTCAACACTTGGCTGCGTCAGGACCTGAACTCAGGCCTGTCTAGCCCCTGGGCCGCGTTGTTAGCCTCGGGTTGGAAGAGGCCAGGTCAGGTGTAAGTCCTAGAGGTGGAGGGGGCGGTCAGAGGGCGGGGCTGGCGCCCGGGGGAGTTCGCGGCCCCCTCACCTTCTCGCTGCTGCTGCTGCTGCAGGAGGGGCGGCGGCTGTGGGACGCTGTGCGCGATGGGCGTGATGGCCGCAGTGGGGTACACGGCTGTAGAGACCCGGAGCGGAAGCGGGCGTGAGGCGGGTGGGTGCCCGGCGTGAGCGGACGGGACTGACTCGAGGGGTTCGGGCGAAAGGTGAGGGCGGGGCCAATGCCGGGTCTTGGGAAGGGGAGGGGCGTGGCCACAACGGTGCGCCAACCTCAGGGTGGAGCCAAGGCAACAGGGGGGGGAAAGGCGGGGCCAGGAATTGAGACGCGGGGCCGTGAGTTAAGGGAGGGCCAAGGCTAGCCTTAGGAAGAGCCAGAGATGGGATGGGACCTTGGTAGAGCAGGGCGGGACCAAAGGTGGGTTCTGAGGGGCGGGACCAGACGCTAAAGAGGGAACAAGGGCTAAGAGCTGGGATTGGGCCAGAGCCAGAGTAGGAAGCTTGGCTAGAAAAAGAAAGACTTTGGGGCCGAGCCTTGGGGGCGGGGCTTCTTGTGGGGTGGGGCCATCCGCGGTGCGGGCGGGCTTCCCTACCTGTGTACTGCTGGACTCCGGAGAAGGCAGGATGGAGGGTCTCAGCCATGGTCGGGCTCTGAGCTGCGGGCAGACGGAAGGGCTGAGTGGGGTAGGGGCACCAGAAGACTTCTTTCCACCCCCAATTCTTAAGAGCCGGAAGGAGAGCAACAGACATCCGCCCCAGCTTCACCCCTGTGTAAACGGTTTACAGGTATGATTCCCATTTTACAGGTGGGGAAACTAAGGCTCAAGTAGATGAAGTAACTGGCACGCTCAGACAGGTGATGGCAGAAGCCTAGCTGGAATCCAAGTTTCTTGGACTCCAGAGAGGCTGAAATATCACCCCCATCTCTCTCCCCATCCTGGTCCACTCACTGGTTCCCTTTATTCTCTAGATTCTCCGGGTCGCCAGGCCTCTGCTCCAGACCACCACTCACCCCCATCCCTTCCCCTCTCTCACTCCCCACACCTCGTTCATCAGACACCCTATGGACCCACTATGTGGTTGTGACCTGACTGCCCTCGTGGAGGAGGTAAGCGAGGGGAGAGTTTGTCCAGGCCACTAGAGCTGACGAATCGAGAAAATTCAGCCAAAAGATTCTGCTCGAGTGAAGAGAGGTTGCTGGAGGATGGAGTGGTGTGTGGGGTGGCAGGTGCGGGGGATGCGACTGTAAAGGGGTTGCATGAACAAATCCTTTGTACAGCTAGAACAGTTCTGCATCTTGGTTCTGATGGTGGTTACATGAATCTATACCTGTGATAAAATGGTACAGACCCCCCACACACACACACATATGTACATGTAAAGAGCGGGAAAATGTGAATAAGCTCTCCTACTCCAGTGGAGTTCATTGTACAAACCAATGTCAGGTCCCTGGTTTTGACAGTGTCCTGTGATTATGTAAGATGTTAGCGTCAGGGAAGGTGGGTGAGCGGTACACAGGACTTCTCTGTATCATTTTGGCAACTCCCCGTGAGCCTCCAATCATTTCAAAATAAAAATAAACTCTCTTCAATGGTGGAAACACAGATGACTTACTTCACCTCAGCAAGGTGTTGGAAGATGTTTGCCTTGAACTCATGGTATAGGGTAGGGAAATGTGGGAGGGACCTCTGCTTCAAGAAGGCAGGGCCCAGCTCAAATCAGTGCATGGCCAGTATTGAGTGAATGAATCAATGAATGAATGAATGGATACAGGCACCAATACCTTTCCAAACAGTAATGATTAATAACTAAGACTGATGGTGCCATTCTTGGTACTAGGTACTGTGTTAAGCATTTTACATACTAAACTCATTGTCAGTGCAGCCTCCTGAGATGACTGATGTTATCTGATCCATTTCACAGATGAGCAAAGGGAAACTCAGAGACTTAAAGGAATCACCCAGGGCCACCAAACTTGAATATGAACCCAGAAACCTCTGGGTCCAAAGTTCCTATGTTTAACCTTTTTCTCTGTGCCCACAGCACATATCTGCTCAGCTGAGACTCCCTTGGTTCTGCGTCTCCGTTCTGCGGGCACCAAGGCATAGGAAATTATGCTTGTCCTAGAGATACCGTCCCTGCCCCCTGATGCTCTCCTAGGCCCTGAGGAACCACCTGAGTTACCTGGGTAGGGCATGAGGCCATTGGCATATACAGTCTCTAGGGCAGGGTGCCCACCAGGGAAGGGCACGACACCTGCAAAGCTGTTGGTGATGGGAGCCACGAGGCCAGGTACGGCGGCAGTGCTGAGCAGTGGGGGCGAGTGCAGTCCTGTGGAGCAGAAGAATGTCATGGGGAGCCTGGGCCTGGCCCCAGCCCTGCCCACCCATCCTTGGGCCTCTAGGGGACTCTCACCAGAGGCAGGGGCGATGGGCGTGGCAGGCAGCCCATTAAGGCTGACGGCGCCGATCTGCTGGATATGGCAGGGTGAGAAGGCCACGCCAGGGCTCAGGTAGCTGCCCGAAGTGGACAGGACCGTCGTCTGCTGCTGCATGAGCTGGAGGTGGAGAGGGAGTCAACATGCACAGTCAGGGTGGCACCTGCCCTGAGATCACAGCCCCTGGGGGAGGCCTGGTCCTCCAGTAACTAGTTAGAGGAGGGGGTCAGGCTGGATACCTTGGCTCAGGCCAAAGTCAGGGATCAGGAAGGAATCGGGGCTCAGCCTGGGGTTAGGGCTCAGTCTAGAGTCAGGGTTCATAGGAATCAGGGCTCATCCAGGGAGCTGAATTCAGTCAGGAATTTGGTCTTGGTCCAGGATCAGGGATCAGCCAACACTGAACTCAGCCAGGGTTGGGACTCAGTCTGGAATTAGCCTGGATTGAGAGGCTCATCCTGGGTTTGGTCTCTGTTTGGGGTTGAGGCTCAGCCTGGATTTGGGATCTCATCATGAGGTTGTGTCAGTCCAGAGTTGGGGTTCTGCTTGGGCTCTGGGCTCAGTTTATGGCTGGGGGCTCAGCCAGGGTTGGGGCTCAGGAATCAGCCATGGCCAGAAAAGGACCCCGAGCCAGAAAGACTGAGCAAGAGACAGAAAGATGGGCAGTGACAGGCCTCTCAAAGATACTAGATGGAGAGGGAGAGACTGAACCGGATCATCAGAGTGGTCTTGGGAACCCCACTGGAGGCAAAAGTGTGTCTACTGGGGTCACTCACAGCCTGGGCGTAGGCACTGTAGGGGCTGAAGGGCAGGGTGAGGGATGGTGTCAGAATGCCCAGCTGGCCCACCATCTGCTGCATGCGCCGTAGAGTTCGCTCCTTGTCCGTGTCGGCAAACTTCACCACCAGGCTGGAGGAGGCACCCTGCAGGGGCAGCCACGAGCAGGAAGGGAAAAGGGGAGGGAGGTAACCAGGACTCTGGGGTCCCCAGAGCCACACCAGCTCAGGTCCTGGATGGCAGCAGTTGCTGGCCCCGTCCATGAGCCCCCAGCTGCAGACCTCAGGCACTCAGAGAGACCACCTAAAGATCAGAGCCCTGGGTCTCATGCTTGACCATGCAGCCAACCCTGCACACGGGTCGGGCATCGGGCCCAGGGGTTGTGTTTAGGACACAGTGGAGGACCCTGACTCTCAGGCACATGCTCTCTCAAAAATAGGAGAATCCAAATGCTGGAGAGGAACAATGGCAGCCTGGGTGGAGGAAGCATTGTTACCCAGACAGCTGAGAATAGGTGAGAATCCAGTTGCTAGAGAGTAACAATGGGGCACAGGTGGATAACCCTGCAAATGGCACCTTACACCTGAGAACCATGAGAGGTTCCAACCAGCAGAGAGGTTGACATACCCCCTTTGATGAAGAGCTCACTCCCCGCTGTGCCTGCCAGCCCCATCACCGGACAGCTCTAAGTAGAAGGAAGCCTGGCCTGGTGATGAGCCAAATCCTGCCTGTCCAGGGACTGAAACTGGTGCCGCTCTTCTGAGACTGCCCTGCACTTCACACCCGTTTTCACGAACAACTGAGAGGAGAGCTGGTTCTTCCAGGCTCATCTCCCCGTGCAGATTTGTGCATTGCATACAGTGAAGGTGGCTCCTGGAGCTTCCTTTCTGGGGGTGCAGGTCACCCAGTGCTGGGGTGGTCCTCCCCAGCCTCACTCTGCTGCTGACCCACAAGTTCCCGGCTCCAGTCTTGCTTCTGCCCACCCCTACTCTGGCCCCAAGGAGATATTTCAAACCAGCCTGGTTCCTTCCCTTCGCTGGGGAACCCCTCTGTGGCTCCCATGGACAGAGGAGAAATCTGCGTGCCTCGCCTTGAACTGCAGGCCGCTCCAGCCCGTCCTCTGCTGCTCCGGGAGCCATCCATTCCTACCACCACCTTTGATCTTGTCACTCCCCAGCCCTGATGTCCCTCTGCTGGCCTTGGCAAATCCCATCCACCCTTAGGTCTCACCCCTCCTGTGTACTCACACATATATACACATACTCTCACACACATACGCTCACCATGCATGCTCACATTCATGGATGGCACTCACGCATACACACTCACCATGCATGTGAGCACACACTCGCATACATACATCACACTCGTGCACAAAACCACACATGTACACACATAAGCATAACAGTCACTGTGCACATATAATCACAACCCTCACCCACACATACACACATGCACTCATCCGCACACACATTCACACACCGCCTCACCTACAGAGGCACACACATGCACTTGTTCTCCCACATTACCCAGGTATAACCATGCACTCAACATGCTTGCGCCATGTACTCAGACATACAGGCACTCCCATGTGCACTGCCAGGCACACTGGCAGTACATCCTTACACACATACATTCACACACTCATACATGCACAATCACACACATGCATACACTCACTTGCACCACCATCAGAAACTTCCCCCTTGTCCACCTATACCCTCGCTGGAGAACAGCCAGGGACTACTAGACAGCTGGGATGGAAGGGAGAGGGCCCCCTTGCCTCTTTTCCATGCACACCAGCACCGTGGCCAGGGCAGCCCCTACTCACCGGCATGGTCTGGCTGCCATGCAGGGCGTGGATAGCTGCCTGAGCCTCTGTGTGGGAGGAGAACTTCACGAAGGCACAGCCTGCACCAAGAGAAGGACAGGTGAGAGGCAACAGGGTCTTTCTGGGCAGGCAGGGTCCACCAGAAGGGGCTGGAGCCCTGGATGGCCAGTCAGCATCAGACACACGCAGGCAGAAAGCCAGACATCTGGACAACAGAGCCAGCCAGCCGTTTGCTCAAGAGAGCTAGGCAACGAAGGATCAGACAGTGACAGAAACACACAGCCAGCCATGGGGTTGGACAGTCAGCCGGTCAGTCATCCATTCAATCAGAAATCCAGCCAGCCAGATAGCTGCTTGTCAAATGCACAGTCAAGCAAAGGGGACAAGCTTAGAGGACACCCACTAGCCACCAACACCATGAGACCCAGAGTTGTAATTAGATGTGCAGAAGTAAAGCGACAAACCATGAGACACAGACGCGGAGAGATACAATCCTGTGCACATACTCAGGCAGAGATGAACTCAGACCCAGATGGACAGGCTCATGTGACCAGAATGGAAGAAATGGGGATAAAGTCACCAGACAAGGGCAGACCCAGCTGGGCACTCACACAGGCAGAATCAGGCGGACAGCCAGCCAGAGACCACCAGACACATGAAGACCCAGACAGAAATAGTCATTTGGACACCCAGGCAGAAAGAGCCAGAGACTCAGTGATACAGCAGGAGTGATATGTAACCCCAGTCACATACAGTCATGTGGGCAGACAGGAAAACAAGTCTTTGGAGGTCATTAAACAATCATTCCTGGAAGGTACAGCTATATAGGCAGAATAATATCCACAGTACACAGGCAAATCCAGGCGGAAACCATCCCACAGACAGTCAGGTGGAGACAGGCATCCCCAGGTAGTCACAGGCACATAGGCAGGACCCTGACCACCCATGGGCCCCACCCTGCAGTCCTGCTCCTTGTGTGCCCTGCCCAGCCCCTGTGTCCTAGGCCCCGCCCCCAGAGCCACCCTCGACCCTGGCCTGTCACCTTTGCTGCTGCCATCAGGTCCCCGGAGCACCGTGCACTCATCTATAACCCCGAAGGGCTGGAACAGCCGCAGCACGTCCTCTTCCGATTGCTGCTTGTTCAGCATCCCCACAAACAGCTTCCGGTCCCCTGTGGGCGGAGACACCACCTCAGCCGAGTCCTGGCTGGAAAGCCTCTCGGAATTTCTCCACTGAGCCCGCCTGTTTCGTGCGTGTGAGGGAGGTCACAGCCGGGCGCTTTCCCTGCCCTGGGTCTCTCCACCCTCCCACGTTCCTGCTCTGTCCCATCTCCAAGCCTTTGCTCATGCAGTGTCCCCCTCCCCTGTCTGGAATGTCCTCCCTCCAGTCCTTCCGGACCCCTGCTCCACCGCTCCCACTCTCCAGGGAAAGACATCTCTCTCTCCTGTGGCCTCAGAGAGCCGGCACATAGTACCAGAGTTAAGAACTGCCTTGCCTGGCCTAGGTCCCTGTCAGCCTGTCTGTCTGCCATCCAGATTTTCTAGGGAGGGGTCAGTGCTGATGGCTTCTGCATCCTCATGGTGCCCAACAGAGCTCCCTGCCCAGCCTTGCCAGGAAACAGGAGTGGCCAGGCATCAGTGTTTGTTGAATGAATGAGGGCACATGTGTGCATAGGACCAGGTGTCTGGGGAGCCTGCAGTCCCCCTAGGGTGGGGTTGGAGTGGGTGCCTAGCTGGATGCCTAGCTGGGACCTGCCGAAGTCTGAGGCCAGGGCTCAATCTGGGCCAGCCCCTCCTGTGTGAGGCACCAGAGATCTGTCCCTTAGGGTAGTTGCGCTGCTCCCCTATAATCTGGAATGTGGCAGCTTCCTCTCTCTGAGATGGTGAGCTGGGTTACTATGGAGACCAGTTTTCTGGCAGCTGTCACTCATGGGGGAGGGAGGAAGAAACAGAAGCAGAGAGAGTGAGAATCAGGAAGGGAGGGAGAGAGATGAGAGTGAGAGAAACAGACACAGGCAAAGAGAGGCACAGAGAAGAGCAGAGAGAGAACCTGAGAGGCAGGAGAGAAAACGACAAGGACAGAGCAACAGATACAGAGGGGGAGGGAGAGAGCGAGAGGACAGAGAGACTGAGATGCACAGACCCCACCTCTCTAATCCCTGACTCCCACTGGCGGTCAGGTTGGAGAGCATCAAATCAGGCTTTGCACGGGCTTTACCAGGCTCCTGCACCTACACGGGGGTCCTAACAGCCCTGCCCCACAGACCATCCCCAAGGCTGGCTGTTCTCCCTCAGCCCCCAGTCCACCTGAAATGAGGAGGAGATCTCTAAGACTTTTTGTTTCCCAATGGGGACAGCCAAGTACCCCCACAGGCACACCCCCACCACACGGTCCAGCCCCACACAGACTCCAGGCTTCCAGCCTGCACCCCTGCATGCCCAGCCTGTTATAGTCAAGCACACACACTTGAACATACATGCCCACATGCACCCCACCACACTTGCTGCACATACACATGTGCACATACTCCCACATCTCTGCACACAGGTGTGCTCAAATGTGCGTGCTTACACACAGAGATGCCCTTGTCCAGATGTGCAAACATGCACACGAACAGATCGATCCACAGCCCTTTAGAGATGCCATCCCCTCTGCATCTGAAGGTCCCATTACGGCTCCCTGAGAGGAATGGGGTTTGTAAGCTCCAGGGGAAGCGCTGAACCTGGCCTGTGGCTCTGTGGTTGGGACAAGGGGACACAGCACCCCTGCTGTCCTGTCCCTAACCCATTAGGTGTGTAAGCAGGCAGGTGACTACTGCAGCCTTTTGTGAAAAGATCTTCCTTCCTTCCCCCCACCTCTGCCCACCCGCAGCCTGGAGGTCAGGGAGAGATGACAACTACCTCCACGGCTTTCGCTGTCCGCAGGCTTCACCTGGATCGGCCGTGCCATCTGCGGAGAAAGCGGGGAGGGGGAGGTCATGGTCAGCAGCTGGAGTAGCAGGGTAGGGGTAGAGGCTTTGTCCGAGCTCTGCCAGGCAACCCTGCCTACCTCCCCAGCCTCAGCATCCCAGCAACCACCCGGCAGCAGCTCACACTCCCCTCAAACCAAACAACACATGCTCCCACCTACGGGGCTTCACTCAGGCTGTCTGGAAAACTCTTATTTAGACTTTAAAACTCAGCAACAACATCCGTTTCTCCAGGAGGCCTCCATGCCTCCCCAGGTGCGATTGACTGTTTACAAAGATGGCCCGACTCCTCCAGTCCCTGTATGTAATATGATTGTGTGGTTCCTCTGGTCAAGAACTGGAGTCTATTTTCCTTTTGCACCTGGACTTGGCTATATGACTGCTCTGACCAATAGAATGTGGTGGAAGTGAAGTTGTGGGAGTTCCAACCTTGGCCTCAAGAGGCCTTGCAGCTTCCACTCTTGGGACCCTGAGCTGACCAGGTGGGTATGCCCAGGCAAGCTGCTGGAGGGTGGTAGACTTCACGCACAGAGAGGCCCCATCAGCACACAGCACATAGGAGTGAGGGTGTCCTGGCCCAGCTTGCCCCAGTCAAGCCCCAGCTGACTGTAGCTGCAAGAATGACCCCTGGGGAGACCAGCAGAACCACAAGCAGCTGAGCCAGGTCAGCATTACCAACCCACAGAACCATGACCAAATAAAATGATTGGAGTGGTTTGTTACTCAGAAGTAGCTGACCAATACACCAAGGCTGCTACATTTAGTCAGCTCCCTGAGCCCTAGGTGGGAGAATATCATACCTGAGTGGGCCAGCCTGCAATACAGACTCAGTGTTCTGAACACTTCTATCCTCCACCCCTAGCACTGAAAACGATGTTCACTGAAAGAAATCCTCCCATAGCCCCCACCCCCAAACTTACCCAGCCGTGGGCATGATGTGAGCTAATGTGAACATCTGACAACAGGCTTGAGGGACATGGGATGGGGGTGACATTTGCTTCTCCACTGGTCCCAGGACAGAGTCCTCCCAACCTGCTATCTTTGGTGAACTCCTACTCATTCTTCAAAACCCAACTCAAAAGCCCCCACAAGAGCAGTCCTTCCACCCCTCTGGATTCTCTGCCCCTTCTGCCTGGGGACTACAGCATCACCCTCACAGGGCAGAGAGCCCAATGAGCCTGCTGAGCTGAGCTGGCCAGAAGGAAGTGGCCAGGTCTACCATCACAGAAAGGCACCCTCTCCCCACCGATCCAGAGAAGGTGCTCGATAAATGTCAGTAGTGTTATCATAATGCAGCTGCCCAGCAAGCTCGAGAGAGGTCCAGTTTTCACCCCATTTTATAGATTTCAAAATCAAGGCCCAGAGAGGTTATTTACTGTATCTACCAAGGTCAGGGTAGATGAGTCCAGACACTAAAGATTCCTAGAGGTCAAATTTAGAGACCTTTCCACTCACTCCCATCAGTATAGACCCCTCCCCAACTTGAAAGCCCCATGTCCCCTCCCCTCAGAGTCCCCTCCCCTTCTCTCAGACTCTGTCCCAGCTCTGAACGCCCTCCCTCCCTCAGCAGCCTCTTGGCCTGAGTATCCTCCTCAAGTGGGTTCTCCTCTAGCGTCCCTCCCCGCTCTGAGTTGCACCCCATTCTGAGTTCCTTCCTTCTTTCTGCTCCCCTCCCCATCCAAGCCCTTCCCGTGTCAGACGCCCTCCCCTCTCGGAGTGTGTGCCCCAGACATACATGGGCCCGGCTGCCTCAAGTTGAACTCAGCCTCGGGAGCTCCGGAACCAGAGAAGCCTTGGTCTCCCTTATCCAGCATCCCCAATTTCTGTGGCTCAACCTTCTTGCCACCCATCCTTACCCTCAGAGAAAAGGGGTAACCATGTCTCCCTTCCCCCACAACACACACACACACACACACACACACACTGAGCCTTCTCCACCTGGGTACCAACCCTCCTAGCTGGAGGAAGGAGGGTAGATTATTTCAAGCAGATGGGACCAGAGTCTGGACTGAGGTGGTGAAGGGAGGTGGGGGGACAGAGGGAACCTAAGCATCAGCCTCCTGTTCCCCCACCCCTCCCACCTCACCTCCACTGGCCCTCAGCTCCTCCCCCCTCCCAGCACCTTGGGCAGATGAGGATGGGGTTGCCATGGCAACGCTGATTCACCACTTGGAAGCTGGCAATTGTTGTTGCCATAGAAACTGCCTCTTAGGGGCGAGACCAGCTCCTGTCTTGCACAAAAGAGATATTTAAATATAATCTTCTGGAGATGGATGAGCCAAGAGAGGGAACTAGGGAGGGAACCTGCCCTCATCACAGCACCCTCAACCCTCACCCCATTCTCATGGCTCGGTTACCTGCCCACCAACTGCAGAGCCTGGGACCTTTCACCTCATACTGGAAGGCTCCTTCCTCATCCTGGGTCAGATTGGCAGGGGGCGGAGGTCCTGGTCTGGTCCCCAAAGCCAGGTGGGCTGTTCCCTCCTCTCCAGCCCCCCACCTGAAGGCTTGGAGGCCCAGCTGTCCACACCCCACAGTCCCACACCCCACCTTACCCACCAACCTGGAGACTCACACCAGGCTGGCATCCATGTGCTGTGGCCGCACGGTGGTCCTGGGTGCACAGGGGTGCATACGTCATACGCAAGCTGAAGCCCAGCGCCTCACTCCCTGCGCCTCACACCCAGGCAATTCCCCAGCTACTGGCCAGGCCCTGCCCACCCACTGGAGCCCAGAGGAGGTGCGCAGGGAAGGGGGAGCCGAGTCTGCCCATACGCCACCTCTCCACCTCTCCACTCGCCCTGCCTGCCCATCTGGCTCTGCCCACCTCCTTCCAGCTCTTTCTCTCCATCTGTCCCACCAAGGTCTCTGCCCAGTGCCCCCCCTCCCTCCTCTACCTTCTCTAGCTCCCCAATGCTGCATCTCTTCTTCCCTTTCCTCTTTTCATTTATTCAACAACATTCCCAGTGTGCCCCATGCTGAGTAATTTTGCAGTCCCAGGGAGGACCCCACTGGTCTGGTGGAGGGGGAGACAGAGGCAGATACAGACACTCCCAGGCACACAGGGTCAGGGCTGGAGCAGCAGGCAGAAGCAGGGGCTGGGAGAGCCTAGAGTGGAGAATGGTGAAGAGCCAAAGGCAGTCCCGGGGCTGCAGCGCAGGTGAAAATCTGTGGAGGGTTTTGAAGTGAATAAGAGTTTGGATAGGAGTTTGAGGGGGAGATTGTTTCTCATGTTGGAGCAATATGTATACCCACTGACTCATTTAATCTCCAAACAACTGCATGAGATGTAAACACTCCCATTTGATGGAAGAGCACATCAGAAAGGGAAAGAATCAGACTCAGGGGCCCCATCTCCTGCCGATTTCCTCAAGGTCCTCTGAGGACCCAGCCCCTACTCCAGCCAAGGGTCCTGTGGGCCGGGACTCTGGGAGTGCCCGTGTCTTTGGGGTGGGCACATGTGCAATGGCTGGGACTCAGTCCATGCTGTGCCCCCCAGCTCTTGCTGGGTGACTTTGACCAAGCCATACACCATTGGGAAAACAGGGTCCCTTAAGTCTGACCTGTGCATATTACACATAGGGAAACTGAGGCCACCGAGGGGGAGAGACTGCAGGAGGAGTCTCTAGTGGTCAGGCTGGGGCCCCAAAGAGTCTACTGGATTTGCAAAGTTATGACTCTAGAAGATGTAGGGACGCCAAGGGAAGCCCCAGCTGGGTTGTTTCTGGAGGTGTGGAGAGGAAGGAAGCAAGGTGGACACCTCATCTGGGCTGCCCAGGCATCCATCCCAGGCTCCCCCTCTCCCACCTTCTCCAGGTCTAGATGCTGCCATGGCTCCCTATTAGATGTAGCATGTCAGCTCCTCATCCCGGCATTCAAGCCTCCTCCACCACTTAGCCCCAGGGATAGGCCCTGGGCACTGCTGCCGCACTAACTGGACTGGAATGTGCCCTCTGTCTCCCATCCTCACCTGGAAGAGGCCCCCTCAAGTGCCACTGTCCCCTGAAGACTTCCCCTCACTATCCATCTGCTTTGGCTGCTTTGCCCAGGCCATGCTTTGATCCTGGCATGTCCCCCAACACACACACACGCACACATGCATGCATGTGCACACACGCACACATACACACACACTGTCCCGATTATGGGTGAGCTCCTTGGAGCAGGGGCTGAGGGGCTCTCTGCCTCCTTACCTGAAGAGACCAGAACAGGGACTGAAAATAACCAAATGAAACGAGGCAAGACCTGTGGTTTTCACAGGAAGCAAAACCCAGGCCCTGACCCCATGGGCACAGAGCAAGCTGGACATGTGCTGGGCAGCGTGCTGAGCACGGGAGGTAACCCAGGGCGTGTGCCAGGCCATGTCTGAACTTTCCCCTCCATGGGAAGCGAGCGGGCTCGGAAGGACCCCACGACTGGCTGGGAGTCCTGAAGCCTGACCGGCCCGGATGGTTTGTTCATTCACTTGGCACGGGTGTGCCAAGGTCCCGTTGCCTGCCTCGCACCTGGCACTCATCACCTCACAGAATCCTCGAAACACCCCTGTGGTCTCATTTCACAAGTTAGGAAACGGAGGCCCGGGAAAGTCGAATCATTAGACGTTGACACCTGGGGGCCCCTCGCTCATGTGTGGGTTTGCTTGACACTGAGCCAAGTCGGAGTGTGGGTGTGGGCCCTTCGACGGGGCCACCGCAGAGACCCCTGTGGGCACAGCGGGGTTTGCAGGGAGCCGAACAGACGGGCACAACCTTTAATTCTGGGGGGGTCAGACAAGCTGCGGGGTGGCTGCCAGATCCGGGGTGTCCCTCACCCTCCAAGACCTTATGATGAGAGGTGGTATGTCTCAGAGTCCAGTCCCTTGCTGGCCAAGAGACAGCGGCTGGCCCCACTGGCTCCCACGGCCCCCGTGGGACCTGTTCCACCTCAGGAACCCCATCCCGGGGTTTGAAAGCCCAGCAGAGACGCTCCGCTGGGATCTGAG